ATCAGCCATGTTTTGGCCAGGAAGCCTGAACAAAAGTCGGGAGCGGGGGATGGTTCTGCTGCTTCTACTACTTTTCTGCCGCGTGACGATCAGCGGCAGAAGGCAGTTCGGGAGAAATGCTGATGGCATCCTTGCACTTCAATGTATCACTTTTGAGGTCCTTGGGCCTCTTTTTGCATGCACCGGCACAACGACCTTGCAAAGTTCTTGTGTGAGGCTGTTGCTTAGGGAGGCTCTGTAAATGAGGGGCATGCGATTACATTTTATATTCATAGTTTATAATATACTAATATGGCACCCCCCCCAAGTTATCTACCTTTTTTGGGTTGTTTTAAGAGGTTTATTAGGCTTCTCTAAACCCGGTAAACCCTAAACTCCCCAGCGTTTGCAGTTCCCGCTGTCCAGGCTGAGCGCAGAGACGGGAGCAATCGGTGCACCAGCGCAAGGCGCAGCCTTGGGGTTTGGTTTTAGGGTTTAGGGTTTAGGTTTAGGGTTTAGGGTTTCATCCTGTGGGGAATAAGGACTGTCGAGAGGGGCGGCCCGAGGTCCCCTAAGGCCTATAAAGGCCGATAAAACCCTAAACCTCCACGGCGAAACATGGCCTCCCCTGAGACCTTCAAGCCGTAACAGCCGTAGCATTCAGTGAGGGGCATCGGAAGGTCAGAGAGTTCTGAGGCCAAAACTGAACCGACGCGTCAACTCGTAAACCCTTGTCACCTGATCTCCCCCAGTGCCAGGTGTGGAGCCTTTGGAGGGTCCACCAGTCTCGGAGTAAGCAGAGGCCCTTAGGGTAGAGTAGGGGATGTTGTCGGGGTGTCCTACGACCGTGCTGCCATGGTTCTCTTCTTTAAGGGGTTCCGCCTTTTTGCTTGTGCACTAAGAGAGGACTTCGACCGGTGGCATGTAAGCCCCTTACATGCTCGTAAGTCACAGGACTACTTGCAGCGCCGACGGCCAGCACCATGTCAACGCTGCATCGAGATGTGGAATTTTGATGGGTCTTCCGGTCTTCCTTCACACAATAAGTTGACCTTCACACATGGCTTCAACTTCCTCACTCCTGCGACTCTAACACATGGTGAATTCCCAAGTAAGTGAAGTTGGCAGCGCAATGGCGATGTGCATCGGAACATGTCGTGCCAGGCTCGAGACGTGGTGGCACACCAGGCGCTGGCGAAATGTTGGATGTTCTTTGTTGGACGTTTAGACCGATCTTGATTCTGCGCCCCTATACACAGTACTGCAGACCCGGCGCATGAAGCATGGAGCTGTTGGCGCAGCATTTTTGCCCGCCAGATGGGCAGTGAAGTGATTCAACAGCGTCAAATCGTGATCGAAACAGCGTCTCACTCACACCTATCATCTATCATGTCAGCATTTGCAAGAACAGGTTTGCATCCTGCTCCAACCGTTCACGTGACCATTTGCTGCGGAGTTACGCACACCCAGCTACATGTTTATTGTTTAATGAAGCAGCGCAGCAATGGCTGGCACGCCTCGTGGGTCCCAAACCCAAAAACACTTGCCAGACAGCCCCTCTAGGGAAGGTTACTTGGAGCGCCGCGTAGACGAATTTCTTCAGGAGCTACCGCGGCAGTGCTCCAAATACAAGGTATTCCAGAAGGAGAACTTCAAGCGTCATTTGCCATCGCGCTCCCTGGAAGTTGAACATGTTTCACTTTATGAATGCTCCGACCTGAGTTGAGGGGGTGCAGGATATTGACTGTGAAGAGCGCGGCTAGAGTGTGCAACAGAACAAAGACCTGGAACCAAAGGTCCTTTCTTCTGCAGCCCGTCATCGTTGTTGAACTTTGCCAAGCAAATGCTGCCATCTTTCCAGACAGCCCGCAGCAGGATGCTGCATATTGCTGCCCCAAGTTGCAGTGGCAAAACGTCCAGCGTTCTCCCAGGCTTCCTGAAGCTGCGCGAGCTTCACCAGCAGTCTGAAGAAAGAGGCTTTTGGACTCACATCTACCTCCCGTTTGCCAACAATGAGAATGGGCGTGACGACCCTCGCCATCATGCTTCTTTGCCCACTCCTGATACCCATGATGATGGGACGCGGGAGAGGTTTGCGGCGCTCTACATGCTGAGATGCTTACAGCACAGCCTGAATGGAAGGTACCTGGGTACGGTTGAAATTCCATCTTCTTGAACGCGACTCTGCATCCGAGTCTTTATGCGTTTGTGTCTTGCAGCAGCTCTGTGGAAACTGCTGACGCCCCTTCGATTGTGGCGCAAAGGGGCACGTGCAGTGTCTAAGCAGCGTGCGATGGCATTGCTCACATGTGGTGCTTTTATAGCTGGACGAAGCCTGGCACATCCAGGTGCATGGCTTCAACGATGGTCTCCTTTTTTTGCGTGATGCTATTGGTATGTACCACCTTGCATGGAGCACCTCCAAATGTGGCGAAGAAAGCTGCTTGACAGTTTTCTGGGCGAAGAAGGGAGGGTGCTTGTGCACATTGACGAACATAAGAAGCTGTCAAAGGATCCTCGACTCAGAAAAGCTGCTATAGAGTTCATTTCTGAAGATCCTCGCGTGTTGATGATTGCAACATTCACAGAGCCACTGTGGGAAGATTCAGAAGAAATGTGTTCCAGCGGTTCTGCCAAAAAGGGCATTGCCAAGCCACTGCCCGACTTGAAGGACATTCTGACTGTAAAGTTTGGCCTGCAACTTGCCCAGCTTGAGAAGGTGCTGGATGATGAGTCGAAGGCGAAACGCATTTGGAAGAGTTTGCAGCTGCTGGTATTTATGACCACCGCTTTCAAAGGGTATGGGTGGCTACAAGGGAAGAGGCACAGCTGCAAGCATTGTTTGCCAGAGTTGTGGAACTTGGCAAACACATGAAAACAGAGGAGGCGACGAAGTGCAGCACGGTCGAGTTGCTGGAAAAATGCAAAAACGAGCTGCTTTGCCAGATAAGACGCTCTCGTTCAGACAGCACGAGAAGAAAGTGGCTGACGCCAGATATCCTGCTTGGTGTCCCAGCAACGTACCAAAGCGAAAGCGCGCTTGCCAAACTTGGCAATGTGCCTTTGGTGACTTTCGATGCGGGCGATGGTGGAATGTTGGCAGCGCATTTCCGTGTCATGTTCACTTGCGCTCCCGCAGAAGACACAGATCAAATGTTTCGCGAATTTGCAATGCTGGGCAGCGTGCTTTGCATGCTGCCTTCGCAGAAGCAGCCTGTTTTTCAGACATCTTGGTTGGTACCACGTTGGAAGTTTTGTACTGGTGGTCCTTGGGCGTTTTCCTTTATGTTGGGCAAACACCCTTCTTCCAACCAGTCGGCAGCTGTGGTGGTGTGGGCACTGGCCGCTTGTTCGATGGCAGCAGTCTTGAGATTCACCATGGAGTTCGCGACCAAAAACTTTACACATTGTACAAGGCTGATGAGCGACGAGAAAGCCACAAAGGTGTAGACATGTGGATGTGGGGTGAAGATTTCCTCGGTTTGATTGAAATTTGCGGGGGCCAAAAATCCAATATCGAAAAGCACAAGAAGACCGTCAAAGAAGCTCAGGCTGCTCTTGAGCGCAGCGTGCAGAAAACCATTCAGGCGGTCATTCTGGCACCTCACTTTGAGGGCGAGGCGTCAATCAATGCACAGGAAGTTCACATATTGTGGGCAGGTGGCCAGAAACTGGCTTGGAGGACTCGTGCAAGCCCTCTCCATTTCGAAGGATTGACTGACCGGACATCGTGAGCTTAAAAAAGATTTGCATGGCGTTATCTGAAGTGGGATGAGGCCGTAGACCTTCGTTCCATGCCCTTCCGGAGGGCAGCACATCAAAGCAGTTGCAGTGCTCAGGACATTTCCAATGGCCATGGTGAAATACTCTCAACGAGAAGATCAAGAGCGCTCTCAACGGAAAACTTCATGAAATGATGCGCTGAGTTGACCAGGCGCAGTGACCTGCAAACAACTGGCTTCCCACAAAGAGCAGGGACTCTGCCCTCCCCCCTCTCCCCTCTGCCCTCGCCCCTCTTTTGAGTTGTGCAGAGGTTCACGGCACTCGCACGTGAACATTAGCACCTATGTTGCACATCTACTCAATGTACAAATCCGAGCCACTGAGGAATGTAAAGCAGATGTAGCAGCACAGGCCAACGCAAAAAAATGCCTGAAGCCTGGTGGCAGAATGTCCCAACCATAGTATCACAGACCTAGCCACTTTGCTGCAGGTGCAAATCCCTTCGTGGAGGGCGGACGTTGAGTCTTTGACGGCTGAGAGCCACTTGACGCTGTCTTGCAGGGAGTACTGGAGGTTTCCGGCTTCAGGTTCAAGCCAGCTTGCAGTGTGAGATGTGCAATCTTGGGAGTCTTGCTCCTCAGCGAACTATTCTCGCTTCTGCCGATCTCAAAAGCATCCTCGATTATCTATGTGTCCACTCGCCTGACTTATGGAAAGAACTTCTGGCAGTCACTGGTCAGGATCTTGGCAGGATTTGGCAGGACATGCAGGACCAGCACACGCAAATTTTGCATGCTTAGATAGCGTTAGCCGTCATATCACCATACGGACTTATGATATATTTGTAAAATTTTCACACTCTCATTTAACATTCTAAATAGTAACAAAATTTATGATAAATAATAAACTATCTGATAAACTTTCTCACACATTAAAGAATACATTAACTAACAAATTTCTTGCTGAGCGCAACAAACGAGCATCTAAGGCCTGGCCTCTTCGTCGGCCTCTTCGGTATGCTTGCAGACTTCAGGCACTGCACGGCGTGCGTGACAGCCGGGCTGGTGGCTCCTAAGGTTCCATGGCTTTCCGAGACAGCGCTCTGGTGTAGCAAGACTAGGTGTAGCTTTGTCATGAACATGTTGCTGAAGCAACTCATAGAGTAAGGGCAAACTGTTCCAGGATAATCACCAGCACTTGGTCACCGGCCAGAGCAAGTGAAGCAATTCAGATGTTTGTGCTCCGCAGTCTTTTGCTGTTCACAGTGCGAAGCACCCCGCCGGTACCATCTCAGCACCATGATCTTTGCGTTGGTGCCTTGCATGATTGCCTTGGCCTCAGCTGACCTGGCCGTGGATGCTTCACCTTTGATGGACAAGTTGAACCAGGCCCTCTCGTCGAAGCTTGGTGACATCAATGCAAAGCTGGCGGCGGGGATGAAGACCAAAGATCCCATGATGGTGAACGTGGAAAAAGGCCCGCTCCACGTAGACAAGATCTCTGACCTGAGCAGTCTCCGCGTGGAGTCCTTCAAAGTCACGGGCTTTCACATGCCGAACCTGGCCATGGCATTGTCAGGAGCATGGTCTGGCGACCTGAATGTGAATGGCTTCGTTGATGCTCTGGGCAAGAAGGTCCCAGTCGATGCGGCATTGCACGGGGTTAGCTTCAAGAGTGATGAGATTGACATGAACTTGAAGAGGAATCCACTGGAAATCCAAGGCTTCAATGTCAAAAGTTTGGAGGTGTCCATCCAGTCCATCACTTGCCAAGTCCACTTTGCCATGCCTGCGCTGGCGAATATAGTAAGCAAGCTGGCCGACAAGAAGATCAACGAGTCAAAGGGGAAGATTGCAGAGAAACTCTCCGAGAAGATGAAGGAAGTGCTAGGAAATACTCTCAACGAGAAGATCAAGGGCGCTCTCAACGGAAAACTTCATGAAATGATGCGCTGAGTTGGGCGCAGTGACCTGTCCGGCAAACGACGGTGGCTTCCCACAAAGAGCAGGGACTCTTCCCTCCCCCCTCTCCCCTCTGCCCTCGCCCCTCTTTTGAGTTGTACAGAGGTTCACGGTACTCGCACGTGAACATTAGCACCTATGTTGCACATCCACTCAATGTACAAATCCGAGCCACTGAGGAATGTAAAGCAGATGTAGCAGCACAGGCCAACGCAAAAAAATGCCTGACCCAGGCGTGCTTTGCTTGCCTGGTGGCAGAATGTCCCAACCATAGTATCACAGACCTAGCCACTTTGCTGCAGGTGCAAATCCCTTCTTCGAACTTTCCTTCACCATCCGTGAATCCGTGGCTCCTCTGGGCTCCTCCCACATGCGCCTCGATTCCTCTCGATTCCTCCGGGTACTCAGAAAAGCCTCGGGGAAAAAGAATGTGCCAGTTCCGGCATCGAAGACACGGGAACAAGAGGCCCCGGAGACCCTGCAAAGCAAAGCGATCCTTTTGGGGCCCCTAAACCCTCAGCCTTGAATGCCCAGGGGCCGTGAAGTGTTCGCACGCGCATCCCTTGTTTGCCAGTTTTGGGCTCCCATTGCAAGTTTGTGTAAGTTTGTCAACTCCAAGCTTCATCTACGCGATGCTGGCCGCGGGCTGAGTTTTCGGGTGTCGTGCGTGGATGCTTCGGTCTTGAGTCTTCGGGTGGAAACGCTTGAGTGTCGGTCTATAGCACCATGTGACTTAGGGTGTGAACTCCAGGACGGAATGACGAAACCTCCCAATCCCAAACCCTGCCGCTTGGGAGGCAGCCTCTATACGATGTCAGATGTCATCAAAAGCTGGTGTAAGGTGACTCAGCTGGTCGCGCTGGCCGCGATCGCCAGTGTGGCTGGCACGCGGGCTGGGCTCCCGTCACAGGGTTGCAGCCGCTGCACTGCTGAAATTCTGAGCTGTCAGCAAGGGAAGAGGGCTGCCTGCGGGAGGAGTTCTATATAATGCTGCCTTGAGACGATGGAAAGTCAAGTTCCATGTTCCATATGATTGTGATTTGCCGGCCAAGCCTACTGAAAGGCTCAAGCAACACACCACGTACTTTCCTCAACCTTATGCCCAGAAGCCTACAGCCCAAATCCTAGCTTCAAGCCGACACGCTACGTTCCTCATCCCTGGCTTCGATTTTCTCTCTTTGTAGTAGAGTAGGTAACCTTTAACCTTTTTGGGTTAATATGTTCCCCTTATATTCCCAAAGGTTAACCTTTAAAACCCCTAGGTACTGGACAACTGAGCTCTAGGTGTCCATTCAAGAGAACCTGGCCTCGACTAAAGAGCAGGACCTGCAGGGAGCCCCTTTCGGATGGGAAAGTTGCAGACTCGGTAAAGATGCTGTCAAACCCGAAACCCTAAACCCTAAACCCTAAACCCTAAGCCCTAAACCCTAAACCCTAAACCCTAAACCCTAAACCCTAAACCCTAAGGGGTGAATCCCGCTGGTGCCAGGAGCATCCGCCAAAGCAGCTCCTGGAGGAGTATCTGCAGGCTATGGCCTCGCTGCAGGAGTCCGAGGGGCAAGTCCAGTTGCAGTGACTCTCATATTCTGGGTAGGGTTTAGGGTTTAGGGTTTAGGGTTTAGGGTTTAGGGTTTAGGGTTTAGGGTTTAGGGTTTAGGGTTTAGGGTTTAGGGTGTATAGGGTTTAGGATTTAGGGTTTAGGGTCTAGGGTTTAATGGCCCTCTCCTATGCATGGCCTCCCGGTTGAAGGGGCATGCTATCTTATCCCCTGTGGGTTGACGAGGGTGTTTGGGTTGCAGTTCGCCACGCGGTTGGTTGGCTTGGGGCTGAACCGGTGCTGCAGGAGAAAGAAGTTTCGACTCCACTCTAGGAGGGGCCTCAAGGGCAAAGCAACACTTCGCGGGTTCCCTTGCCGGAACTGCAGGAGGAGCAACTTGCGAAGACGAAGGAGTTCTTGCAGACCTTGCAGGCACGTGGAGCGGTCTGAGTTTGCGGGTCGAAAAGATCTGTAAGGTCACGGGCGCTGAAATCCCGCATGTCTGAGGACACAGCGGGAAAAGATTCAAGCCCTAAAAGCCGACGAATTCTTGTACCCTGCAGCAACAATTGCACTGGCCAGCTGTGAAGCCAAGAGCGTACTGTCATTGCAGCATCGGGGCTCTGTGACCATATTCTTCGGTGTGCTGCATCACGCAGTCCCTTTCTATTTCTGCTACACCAGTCGCATGTCTGTGGTAGAGAAGAAGCAGCCTGGCAACTGATTCAACAGTTTCTTGGTCAGTGTGGTCTTTGTGGAAGTTTCATGGGAACCCTAAACCCTAAACCCTAAACCCTAAACCCTAAACCCTAAACCCTAAACCCTAAACCCTAAACCCTAAACCCTAAACCCTAAACCCTAAACCCTAAACCCTAAACCCTAAACCTTAATCCCTGCTTACCGGACTGCTTTCTGCGGAAGCTCGAGCTGAACTTGCCCGAGCTAAAAAGCCGCCGAAGCAGTAAGATAGAGCAGCAGGCTTCCCATGGTCCGTGAGACATGTAAACCCTAAACCCCAAACCCTAAACCTCTCTTACCTATATATATTTAAACCCTATAGTCAGCAAATTGACCGGCCCTGTTGGTCACGCCCTAAGGGCTAACCCTTCCAGATTGACCGGCCCTGTTGGGCACTCAAGGGTCTGGCCTTGTCCTGGCCCGCGCGCAGGCGGCCTTGGCCTTGGTTTTGGCCCTTCCAGATTGACCGGCCCTGTTGGGCACTCAAGGGTCTGGCCTTGTCCTGGCCCGCGCGGGCGGCCGGCCTTGGTTTTGGCCCTTCCAGATTGACCGGCCCTGTTGGGCACTCAAGGGTTGGCCCCTGGCCCGCCGCGGCCGGCCTTGGCCGGCCCTTCCAGATTGACCGGCCCCAAGGGTCTGGCCTTGTCCTTTTGGCCTTTTGGCCCTCCAGATTGACCGGCCCTGTTGGGCACTCAAGGGTCTGGCCTTGTCCTGGCCGGCGCGCGGGCGGCCTTGGCCTTGGTTTTGGCCCTTCCAGATTGACCGGCCCGGCACTCTTGGCCTTGGTTTTGGCCCTTCCAGATTGACCGGCCCTTCAAGGGTCTGGCCTTGTTGACCGGCCCAGATTGTTGGGCACTCAAGGGTCTGGCCTTGTCCTGGCCCGCGCGCGGGCGGCCTTGGCCTTGGTTTTGGCCCTTCCAGATTGACCGGCCCTGTTGGGCACTCAAGGGTCTGGCCTTGTCCTGGCCCGCGCGCGGGCGGCCTTGGCCTTGGTTTTGGCCCTTCCAGATTGACCGGCCCTGTTGGGCACTCAAGGGTCTGGCCTTGTCCTGGCCCGCGCGCGGGCGGCCTTGGCCTTGGTTTTGGCCCTTCCAGATTGACCGGCCCTGTTGGGCACTCAAGGGTCTGGCCTTGTCCTGGCCCGCGCGCGGGCGGCCTTGGCCTTGGTTTTGGCCCTTCCAGATTGACCGGCCCTGTTGGGCACTCAAGGGTCTGGCCTTGTCCTGGCCCGCGCGGGCGGCCTTGGCCTTGGTTTTGGCCCTTCCAGATTGACCGGCCCTGTTGGGCACTCAAGGGTCTGGCCTTGTCCTGGCCCGCGCGCGGCCGGCCTTGGCCTTGGTTTTGGCCCTTCCAGATTGACCGGCCCTGTTGGGCACTCAAGGGTCTGGCCTTGTCCTGGCCCGCGCGCGGGCGGCCTTGGCCTTGGTTTTGGCCCTTCCAGATTGACCGGCCCTGTTGGGCACTCAAGGGTCTGGCCTTGTCCTGGCCCGCGTGCGGGAAACTCTGACCCCCCCTTGAGAGGGAAAGTTTACTTCCAAAAACACCCCAAATGAGGGTGACCCCAGGATCGGCCCGGGTCCCAGTTAAAAATGCGATTTTTCAGGAATGAAATCGACGGTTCTGGGGGCCTCTCGTTTTTCTGGATTTTGACCAAAACCGAGCCTTCACCCGTTTGAGGATTTCAAGTCCCACCCCTCTATGGGGGTCGATGAAATGGTTCGTGGGTAGGATGGTCCATGACACAGTGAGGTTGGAGGACAGGGCTTGCTGATGAGAAGTGTAAACTTTTTATTTTCTTAATGTTGTGGGATTCTCTGGGTGGGTGGGTTTTTTTCCGTTGCCTACACACACTGCTGGCCTAGTAAATGCTCGAACTTGAGATGCTGAACCCTAAACCCTAAACCCTAAACCCGAAACCCTAAACCCTAAACCCCAAACCCTAAACCCTAAACCCTAAACTCTTTGGGTATACCTTTTAAAGGAGATCCCAAAGGGACCCTAATTTTGAAAACTACCCATGCAAGAACCACTCCAACTGGCCCATTCTGGTTTCGGCAGTCCCTTGACTTCACATCCCCCACGATTTTGCCTCGGATTGGGAAATTTTCAGGACAATCGCTTAAGACCTGCAAGGGAGGTGATGCGGTCGTTGTGGGCCCAAGATCATGTTCGCCGGACCCGGTGGAACTAAAGTCCCCACAAGAGCAGATCAAATGAACTTCCCTTTTCCTTTGCCACTCGTGCCTTCTTTTGCTGAAAGCCCTCGCCCATCTCCCAAGTCGGCAGGAAGGCTTCGTAGGTCCAGGTCTGGAACCGACAGCACCATGAACAGGCCGAGAAGACGGAGGCGGCAGAGGAACGCAGCCCTCCGACCACTACCAGGAAGCAGCTTCCAGACATTTCATTGGAATTGGCCGCCCGGAACGGCGACGTTGCGGCGCTCGCAGCGTGGCGTCAGGCGCGGCTTTTTTGTTGCTTTCGCAGTAGCAGGTCAAGTGGTGATTTCTTCCGAAGGGCTGTGAGGGTGCTGTGAAGGGCGAGGCCGGGGTGGATAGCGAGTTCCATGCCGAGGCCGGCGCCGACTTGAGTGCCGAACTGGACTCTGACTCTGGCTTGCGTGGATGGACGCCGGCGCACTATGCCGCTCGCGAGGGCCACGCGGCGGCGCTGAAGTTCCTCCAGGAGGCCGGACACTGCAGGGCTGCTGCAGCTTCCTAATTTGGCTTGTGTTTCAGCTCCCTAGGCCTCCGACCAACACCAAATGCATTTCCTGAGGCCTCCTAAACGCCTTTGGCGTTTCAGCAGATCTGAGGCTCAATGCCGTCCCTGCACCCGAAAATCCTACTGCGGATGCTTTACTTTGGTCTCCAAGGCCCCAAAGTGCATGAACCAAGAGCGCATTTAAGAGCTTCTTCAGCTTTGCTGGTGAAATGGAGTTCTCCAAGCCTCCTGAACGCATTTGGCCCCCTGGTTTCAACAGATCTGGAGCTCCATGCCATCCCCCCGAAAACCCAGCCACCCATAAACCGCTCGAATCAGAGTCTTTTGTTCAATGCCCCCCCATCTACAGCTCTGTCACCTTCTCGGGGGCCCCCTTAATGTATAAGCCCAAGGACAGCCATTCCGGGAAGTCGGGGTTACTCAGTGATACTTCCCCCCCAACTCTGAAATGACGATTGTGAGGCAGGAGCTGACCTGCAGAAGGTGGACGACAACAAGCGTACCCCGCTCCACATGGCCGCATACGAAGGCAAGGTGGACGCGGTGCGCGCCCTGATTGAGGTCGCGGGGGGGGGGGGGGGGGGGTGGGGCTCGCGCTTGAACCCGTTCCTTCACGGCTGCCGTGCTCTTCTCCTCATGCTTCGCAGGCTCGTGTCAACCTCAATGTCAAAGATATTGATGGAGAAACACCGGCCGACGACGCAAAGAGTCATGAAGAGGTGCTGAGGCTGATCCTGGAGGTAGGGCGAAGCGGAGGGTTTTTCACATGTTTAAACCATCCATTTCAATGCACAACCCTAAACTCAAAGTGGCGCCCCTGCCAGGCTGGGGGCAAACGAAGCAAGTGAGTCCGCCCGGGCGATTGCGGCAGCTCGGAGAAACCGCACCAGAAGGTTTCAGGGTCTGCTTGATGTTAGGCTTGTAAAGCTCAGGGCTTTTGGGGTGCTTCGGGCTTTATGACCCTCTGGGTGACTCTCAAGCCTTGAACCCCCGTGACTTCAACCACTTGGCCCGAAACCGCGCCCCCCCCAAAAACCGAGTGGCAAGCGGCAAGCGCCCTCAAGCAATCCCCAACGCCGAACACACACGCACAACATTTAGACCCGACCTGAGGCCCCTTGTTTTGCTCGTGACCTCAGCTTCAGCTCCACCCCGAGGCCCCGCGAGGGCGCGGCCTCTTTGGCGGAAGCCCTGAGCCGGCTGCCGCAGCTCCAGAAGCTGATTCTGGCTTTGGGAGACAACCAGCTGGGCTCGGAGCCCCTGTCGGGGTTCGAATTTAAGTCAAGCTTGCTCTCTTTGTTGTTTGTCTGCGAGTTCGTCGGCCACTCTTCCGGCAGCCTCGTGTTCCCTTGGCGACCCAGTGAGTGTAAAGGCGACTCTCCCCGGTACATTTTTATAAGTATACGAAGAGTCCTGGGAAGCCTCCTTGAAGCTCTCAGCCTTTGCGCTCGAAACTTGAAACCTTGAGCCCGAGAACCGGCGCCTTTGTAATCCTTCATGCTGCGCAGACAGCGTGCAGGTAGCCTAGGGTTTAGGGTTTAGGGTTTAGGGTTTAGGGTTTAGGGTTGTGGGGCACTCTGTCGCCGGCCCCTTGCTCCGGCCTTCTCCCGGCCCGAGGCGACGACGCGAAAGCAGAACCCGAGGCCAAGCTGCAGGTGTGGGCGCTGGGGGCACTCGGGGATCGTGGATGTTTCGTAGGGCGCGTTGCGCAACCAACGTCCCAAGGTGACAAGACCCTAAGCTCCTCCTTTGCCTTGCCCGTGTCTCTGGCACGTCGGCTCCGGAGGCCCTGCTGCTGAAGCGGAAAAACCTTGTCGTTTGATCCTGAGAAGGCGCCCGGCGGCTGGTTGCCCCCAAAGTTGGTTCCTGAAATTGCGCTGCCTAAAGCCCTCCCCACAAGAAATGTTATATGCACCCCAAGAGCCGCATCCACAACATGTTGCCATTTTGCCCGAGACCTCTATTTTCCAATCTCTATGGCCTTTGGATTCTGGGCTCGCGCTTCCTGTAGGAGCGGTCGCATAGAAGCCTCCTCCAGGGGACGCAACAGGGAAACCCACCAGCAAACAGCGACCGCGCCCTTGAAGCCTTCCCATGACTCTCATATCGTGGTCAATCATCGCCTCGTCACGGGGTCTTTCTCTCTCGGCCGTGTTTTCATCAATGTGGTCCAAAAAGATGCTTCTCTAGACCTTAGGGTAAATCCTCAGGAACCCTCCTTGATCAGCCGTTGTGGGGTCCTTCACTGTTCATGTCGCGGCATCTGGAAAAGAACATCCCTGGACCCAAACCCGGCCGAACCATAGCCGCAGTGCAACTTGTATGACACCTTTCGGAAGGCAAGCATGGTGGTAGGGCAGGGCTGGGGTTTTGCAGGTTCTTCCCCTTATGCAACGCAAAGACCCCGCAACATCCCCGGAGCAGCACATTAGGCCTTCGTAGGGTGTCGGTCGCGAGCCGCACTTCTCCAAGCAAGAAGACAAAAAGCATCTGCCACGCACAGGCTGGGGTCCGACTCACGAGGCGCCACTCGGGATCTTCAGCCTGGAGTCATCCTGGCGTGGCTGGCAAAGAAGTCCGAAATGAACTGCGGGTTGCCCGATGAGTAGGCTTAAGGCGGGCCACAGCCCGCTTCTGAATAAGAGCATGCCATCAAAGACGGTAAAAGGCGGCTCAGGGGGCAGAAGCTTGTACATCGTACCGTATGTCCAAAGGCAGCATGGCGGCACGCAATTCCGAGCTTCTTTAAGCAAGCGACTTCCCAGTTCTACAGTGAAACGCAAGGCCCGGAACATTGTGGGCTTCGGGAGCTCTTGGGTGCCCTTGGAATGCACCTCCGCCCGGTATGCAAATGTACACTTAAATTCTGACAGATGCGCTTTAAGGATTTCACTTAGAGGTTTGAGGCAGGTGGTATACAGCATCACCTTGCAACCGCGAACTTGCTTGACTTTCCTCCGCAGCCTTTCGGACCTCCAGCATCTCACGGAGCTCCACGCACCACATTCCACATGCTCCAGATACCTCAGAATCTCAGAACAGCACAGATCCCTTTGAAGCGGAAGTCGCAATTTGGCACTTTCCACGTCACGGCTTCCGCCGGGCAGCGGCCCCAAAGTCCTACTAAACGATCTGAGCTACACGATCCCCCGCACGGCAGCGGCCGGAAAGAAGAAGCAGCATCCGAACTTATCCGAATTATTCTCTGAGCCATCTTCATCTGCATCTTGCATGCATACACGGTAGTCTCCTGCTTATTGGTTCTTGGAGGGAAGTAAAGGAGCTTGGTGCCTTGTATCCCCCCTGAAAAAGGTTTACATAGAGTACCTGATTCGGGCTTTTCCGGGCCAATCCCCTTGTAGTCATCCCTCAGCATTCTCGAAGAGCGAATGCCCTCAGGGTTTAGGGCCTCAGGGGCCTATAGGGTTTGGCACTGACACCTCCATCACGGCCTCTTCTCTAGATCTCAGAGTAAACTGTCAGCAACTAGCAACCTTCCTTGATCAACCATTGGAATCGTGCGCTGTTCATCTATGCCTTCATCTTTGGCATCTGGATGGCAAAGCATCCCCAAGCCTGGCTTAGACCTTGGCCGGAAACAAATCGGCTAAAATCAATACGATGGTCAATGAACAATACGAAATGCATATATAAACATAATGTATTCATTCCTTTCTGAGGGTGAATTTCAAAGATTTAAAGGAATCTCTGGAAATGATGAGGTATGGTATCATTTATCGAGAGGAGGCTTGGAATTGAAATTTGAACCAATGGCGGGGGGACTTACCTTCTTTACCATT